TACTACTCTGTCATTTTCCTTTTTTCTAAAAACAATTTGAGGCAAAAACTAACCACAAATGGCATAATAATTACATGTCACATGGAACATAAAAAATGAAAACTTTCAAATTAAACAGTAAAAAATATGTACAGCAATACCTTGGTTCATAGACACCTCTGTTTACAAACAATTCAGTTCACAAACAAAAGCATTCAGCAAAATTTTGCTTCCATTTGCAAATTCCATATCGGGTGACAAGCCTAACCGCTGCTATCTTCTCTGCACAAACACAGATGCAGCCATCCTCCCCCAAAATCGTAAAACAAATTGTTTGTATACCAAGATACCACGTATCTGTATTATCATTTCATCAGCTTCCATATGCCAAAGGTGAAAGACCCAAGGATTCTTCATTAAATGATAAGATACACTTCTTCCCCACAGGGTGTCTAAGAAATCAAATTCCCAATGCTCATCTGGCTTTAGCCCCGAGTGTGCTGGGATTACAGGAGTGCATGAGCATGCCCACTGTCTTAGTTACTTTTTATTCATCGCTGAAACAAAATACCTGATGCCCAAAGTTGGAAAAGTTTATGTCTTACAGTTTTTGGAAGTTTTAGTCCATACTTGGTTGGCTCCAAGGCAGGATGGCATGGTGGGGCCACCGTTCATGGGTGGCTGCAAACAGCAAGGTAAAAACCAGCAAGAGGGCGAGACACCTTCTTCCTGCCATCACATCACATTCTGGTTCCACTCTGGGAGTATAGCACTCACACCCCCAATCCAAGCACTAGACAATAAACCAATCACAAATGCATAATGCAAAGGCATAAGGCTTGGGGGCCACCAACATAAACCATGACACTCACCAAGTAAACACAGTTTTTGCCATGGTCAATGTTATGGATTGAGAACTAGCGGTCAACTTAACGCCAGCTGGATTACATCAGCATGCATTGAGCGAAGATGCTCCACCTGAGGAGGGTTGCCAGGATAAATAGGTGGAGAAGGGAGGTGTTGAGGGTTAAGGCATTAAGGCATTGTGGGTTCGACAAGTTGCTGTCTGAGCTGTTGATTCTCCTGGAGAAGCCTTGGTCCTCACATCGAGCATTGCTTCCTGGCTCCGGGGGGGAAGACATGTGCTGCTTGGTCTCCAGGATGAACTTGTCATGCTGCTTCCTGGCAGGTACCCAACTGTGCTTGCCAGAGGAGCTCGGGGGCCTCTGTGTCGCTGAGGACAGCTGTGGTGCCTTTCGGGATAGCCCTGGTCTTTGTTGTGTGACTTCTCGGCTCCAGCATAGAACCCTCATCCCACTAGCACAGCTCCTTCATCCTGCTGGCATAGACTTTCTGGCTTCCACCGCTGATTCTTGGTTCTTCCCGGCACAGATCCGTAAAAGATACTGGTGTGAGTCCTTCTTATGGGCTCTGGACCTCCAGTTGGACTCGTGGGAGGCATCATCCTGAGCTCTGGATTTTTATCTGGACTCATATGGGACATTGCTGTGGGGTTTAGGCTCTTGACTAAATAATCTATGTCTTTGGTGTTGTGGATAGATTTCCTGCATTTTCCTGTGTTAACTCCCAGTGACCATTTTAAAAATATTATAAACTCCATGTCCTGAACCTAATTGTTCTCTGTGTACAACCCCTGACTACAACAGTCAATATCAAGTATTTAGATCTCAATGATTCATCCTTAAAGTAGGGTGTGGAATGTTAGTGTGATTTAGCGCCAGAAGTGAAAAAAGAAATTCCCCCTTTTCTTTAGATGTCAGCAAGAATGAACTATAGGGAATGTGGCAAGTCCTATATCTGAGTGTGGCCACCACAGGCGCTGAGTCACAAAGGTCACTAAGGGTTCCAGGCATGAAATAAGGGATGGGATACAGTGAATGCCTCTTTAAGTTACATCATCCCTACTTCCTTTCCCTCTGTTGTACATAGATACAAGGACTTGCAGGTACTCTGCACTGGACCTTTTAAAACCTTTCCAGCTCTGAAATATTATACACCATTCTGGCATCTTTAGTCATCATGTAAAAGAAAAAAAAACAACTATGAGTCAGTTTCCACATCAGTGAGTGTTTTGAAGATTGTATCAATAAGAGTTCCATACAATGAAGCCATGAGCTTCCTGCAAGTTTCTGAATTCATAAAGATCTATATCACTTCCAACTAATTAAGAAAAGCTCCCAAAGATATTATTTATAGATGTGCATGAACTTTTAAGGGATGTTTAAAAGACAGACCTCCATTCTGTTTTTCTCCTAGCTTTATATAAACATAATTATCGACACAGAAAAGGAAGTTGAATTACTACTTGGTTCTCAAAATTAATGTACCAATTTTGAGAGTACTAACATAGTCATATGCTGCATTAGAAAGTCTAGATCAAGGGCAGGTCATATATATGACCATGATCCCATAAAACTGCATTGCTGGACTGGGGGTTTAGCTCAGTGGCATAAGTGCCTGCGTGGCAAGCGTGAGGTCATGAGTTTGATCCCTGGTACAAAAAAAAAAAAAAAACCTACATTGCCTAGGAATCTGGTACCAGCTCAGTTTAATATTCTCTGAAGCTCACTTAAGAATACATTTCTCAGAATATACCCCTATTTTTAAGCAATGCATTACTATACTTGCTACCCTTGCTTCTCCAGAAATTATACTAGTGTACTGTACTCTTACCTTCCACTTGTTAGTGATATAGAAATTGAAGTTCAGAGAGTTTATGTAATTCACTTCATATTATATCAAGTGATAGTACCAAGACTCAAATTCATGGCTAAATTTAAAGGTCACATTCTTTCATTCTTTTAAACTTTGGGCCTGCGTTACCCAGGCTTTACTAGCCACACTGAAATTGCACGCAAATTTATTATTTTTTTCGTGAAGCTATAGCCCCAGCTCAGGTCATGTTCTTTCTAATACATCATTATACCCCAGAAGAGAACTAAAAATTTTATAGTAAAAATTCTAACGTTTCATTGAGAGAAAAAAGTCATAAAATGTAATGTCAGTCCAAGACACAGGATACAGGAGGATGGTGGGTAGCATGTCTAGACAGGTTATAAAATGGCTTAAGACTATAAAGTGAAGTGAAATAAATCAGTTACACAAGTTTAAACACTGAATGGTTTCTCCTACGAGAAAACCAAAATATAAAGAACAAAATAAAAGACAATAGGAAGTAAAGCAATAAGTCTTTCTCAAATGGGAAGGGGATCAAGAGATGGAAAGAGAGAGAAGGAAGAAAAGGGAATATGATTTAAAATGTGCTATGTAATGTACCAACTCCTCACAAAAAAGGTAGTCATGTACTGCAAACAGATGTATTAATAAAAATTTTTGGCAGAAAACAAGGCTGGGAGCAGGATGAAATGGGAAGCAGGGGTGCAGGATGTGGACGGGCAACACAGGACCTAGCTTAACTGTACAGAGTGAGGAAGCACAGAACCAAATTGGGAGAGATATTTAAAATAGGTATCACTTAACCCATCCTCTCATGTAAGAAGCTGCATAAGCAACACTTTATAAAGGTGGGTTTAGGAAAAAAGATGTCTGCTGAATTTAAAAGGTAGGATTCAAATAAAAATTTGACTTCCCTCACAGGCACATATAGGTAAGACATTGAGAAAATCTTTATCCAGTCACTGAGGCTAAAACAGGAAAGCACCAGAAGTGATTGGGAAAGGTTTGCCAAGTTAAATACACTGTGAAACAAGCACTTGCACTGGCAAAGGTAAGAACTCCTAGCACTTACTAGCACTCTGTCCCACAGGGTGAGTTAGGTGTTTTACGTGCACCAAATCTTTTAATCTGGCAAGAACTGATTATAGTTCAGTCCCATTTATCAGATGAGGCCCAGAAATTAACTTAAGGGCATAAAACTTGAATCCAACAGGTCTTTCTGAATCCAAAGATTATCTGCTTAGCCATTCATTAAACTGCATTCTCAACTCTGAGGTTACACTGAGTGCAAGTTTAGTTGATTGTGGGTTGTGCTAGAATGTGGTGGAGTCCATACAGAGCTCCCAGTTTTCCTATGGATATGAGAATCCAGGGATCCAAAGTAGTATTACCACAGAAAGTTTGGTCACACCTAGTGTGAACAAAAAGCTAATGGCACCAGAAACTGGACTAGGAAGGCTTGAATTACCTTACCTGATGTCTACTCATCCAGTCACAGCTGTCTTTTGTCAACTAAACCATAGTTTTCAATGGGAGAATGACCATGGCTAAGATCAAGAGAAAGCTTTCACTTCAGTTATTCTGAAGCATTCTAGAGAAATGCATCCTTAATGGGAGTTACCTTTTATTATGAAGATTGTGGGTGGCAGGCTGATCCGGAGGAAAGCAGGTAATTCCTTCTAAAATAAGCTTTTCCAAGATCTGATTATTTAAAATACACAACTCAATTTTGGATTTTTGGATTTTGCTTTGTTCTGGGTGCTGGACATTGAACTCAGCACATGCTAGGCTGGCGCTCTACTACTGAGCTACACCTTGACACCTTCAGCCTGACAGATCAGTTTTTAAAATAATACAGCAACTGTTTTAAAGTCTAGGCAAGAATTTGGGCCCATTCCTATGCTGAATGTCCAGGGCCACTACCTCCTTCCGCAACACCACGCACATCTAACCCTGAAAACGAGGAAGCGTCCACCGAGGTTGCCCAATGCAGGGGGCTGTCGGTGTCGCCCAGCACACGCAAGTGAAGTCCCGGGCTTCTGACAGCGGCCCCAAGAGCACGCGCCAGGGGGCCCCGTGACGGGGAGCTACGTTCCCCAGTACCGCGCGAGGCAAGCCTCCTCCCACGGCCCTGGGAAGCCCTGACGCCGCAGGCAGGCTTGCTCGCCCTGGAAGAGCCACCGGGGCGTAGTTCCTCCACCGCTTCCTCCAGCCGCAACACCCACCAGTCTCTTCCTGCTACAGCGCCCACACGCTGCGGCCCGACCGAGGCGGCGGGGGCGGTGCGCACGCACGCACGCGCACAGCGCAGGCCCCGCCCCCGCCCCGCCCCTCGCGCGGCCCTCGGGTCCCGATGTAGACCTGTCTCTTGGGGCGGGCGCAGAGCTTCCTCCCTTGAGGTTCTCTCATTGCCACCCTACTTCTCCTTCCGCTCCTGCTTCTGCGGCTCCGAGGCGGACTGGGGACGAGCGGAAGGTTCGCGGCAGCCGAGGACTGACGTGGCCAGGGGGAGCTGCGGCGGGGGTCGCCGGTGCGGGCCATGTCGCTGTGGGGGGAGCCGCTGCAGGCCCCACCGCCCCCGGCCGCGCCCTCGGGGCCGCCGCTCGCCGCTCAGGCCTGGACGACCGTCAACCACCTGCGGGAGCCGCTGCTGCGGAGGCTCAGCGAGTGCTTGGACCGCGCACCCGAGGGCCGGGGCTGGAGGCGACTGGCAGAGCTGGCGGGCAGCCGGGGGCGCCTCCGGCTCAGGTGAGTGAGTCCCGGAGGGGGCGCGGGGCGGAGAATGGGGCGAGGCGGAGACGGGGACGCCGCGGGGCTGCGGAGAGGGACCGAGACTGGGAGAGATGTGGTCTCATTTAAAGAGGTTGCACCTCGCAAAGTCCTGGGAATGCGAGAGGACTTGGGAAGGAAGAGGCCGACACACCGTTTTTCCTACCATCGCAGTCCCTGGGCTGAAGCAAGAAGTACGATGAGAGGACGAAAGTTTTCTGTAGGGCAGTACTTCCAAAGTGTTCAAGATGCAAAAGAAAAAGACGGGCACCCAACCCTCGGGGCCCTAAGGAGGGTCTGGTGGGAGCCGTGCTGGTGAAGAGGGAGAGAAAGGGAAAGACTGGGTGCGGGAATTCGTGAAGCTTTTTATGTAGAGAGAATGGAAGGACTAGAGCGAAACAGCATCTTTCCCACCAAGCCACATTGCCATGTTCTCTTGACTTCACCATGAACGTTAAACTCTTAAGTAAAACTATTTTCGGGATAAGGAGAGGAACCTGACAGGGGAAGGGCTGGCCATTCTTGACGTTTTCTGGTCTCGGGACTTTTACCATCTTAAGAGTTATTGACAATCACAGCTTTTGGTGGCCAGATTCATATTATATCCTGATATTTGCCACACTTGAAATTAAAACCGAGAAGCTTCTAAAATATTAACTCGTTTTAAAATAATGATTCCTTACATAATAATTGACATAACATTTTTGCAGAAAAAAACCTGTCCAAAACAAATAAAGAACTTAAAGAGTAACGTTGGTTTACAATTTGAAAAATCTCTAATATTATAGTCAGTGGAGAGCTGCTGGATTGTTCTATGTGCTTCTGTGCGTTTAACCTGTTGCAGTATTGCAGATCATAGAGCTTTGGAAACTTCAGAGTACAATGCTGAAGAACGAAAGATTTAAAAAAAAAAAAAAACAAAATCTTAGTATTACAGTAAAAAAATGTTTTAACATTGTGGACACCCTTCTCAAAGGGTCTCAGGAACTGCACTAAATGTTCCAAGACCAGAGTTAAAAAGCATCACTCTACACCATTGTCATGATTTTGGTCTACATTTGAACCGCTTAGCATTTTTCTAAACTTCTCAAATGATTAAACTTTATCTTGTACTATAATTATTTGTGCAAATGTTGATAAACTCCTTAAGAACAAGGTGCAGCTCTTAATATCTGTTATGCCTAGAATTTATATTAGACAGTAAGTACTTGTTGAATTAAGTCATTCACGCTTGTATTTATTGAGTACCTATACTAGCTAGAAGTTACAGAAGATAAAGTTAAATGTTTCACTCCTATTCATAAGGGATTGTCTGATAATCAGCTGGTATTTTGGGATGTTGACAGTAACAAAGTGCTATTTGGGGTGTGACTAATAATGGGTTTTTATCGTTTATTAAGTACACTATATATGCCAGATAATTTATTTATTATCTACTTTAGCTCTCCATCAACCCTGAATTTCAGAGTTTGGTGCTGAAACAAAGATTAATGATGATTTGGGATTATTGCCCAAGCATAATGAGGAAAGGAGGATAAACTCGAGACTCAAGCAGAGGGCCTAAGTTTTTTTCTGTTCTAGGAAAAACATTTGACTGTGTAAAGAATATCCAGTGTACTATCATTCTAGGTCAGTAAACTTCTGAGTGTCTAGAATTACCGTAATTAAAATACTGTCTTTAGGGACAAATCTCTATAGTAATGTGGTTGGCAGTGATATAGTTAGAAAAAACTCTGGGCCTTCTGGAGAGGGCCTCATAGTGGGGACTCCTATGTGATGTTTGAAAAAAAAAAAAAGTCTGTAAAGCTGTACCAAAAAGAAGCATAGTGGCTGGGATATAAAAGGAATAGATTCCTGAGGCTGGCTATTAAGTTTTCCTCTCCAATTCATCAGTCAAGTTTTGCTAAAAGCTGTAGAATGGCATTAGCTTTGTTTGGATGGATTCAGGAAATTTTTTGAGGGCACTTTTCTGTATAGTAGTACAGAGAGGATGATTGGTGTCTAGCCAAAAACGATAAGCATGAAAGGGCATGCCATTGTGGATTCTGAGAATTTAGGGTGATTCGTCTGACCTGAAATGGGTGTGTTGCACCAGTCTTCCTAGATGATGAAAGTTAGTTCTGAAGAGGTTAGTGGAAGGCACAAAGATTAGAAAATTGAGGACAGTTAAGCTCGTATCTATTAAAAGTAGAATTAAGCTGCCACGAAAAGAATTAATATTGTAAACTTGGGGACTAAAGAATTAACAGCAAAATGTCAAGGTCATTCTTACTCTGTTTTAAAGACAAAAGAATTATTTTAAATGATTAAAAACTAATGAAATAAGAGCACCTTGTTGTAGAAGATCATAAATAGATGTTTTTTCCTAGTGTCAGATGTAGGAACGGTAGAACGAGAATGGTCCAAGTGGATTATAAATCTGAGGAGGATGTAAAGTGCTTCCTGAGAGTCACTGATTCATGGCCCTAAAAACTCAAAAAATGTTGCTGCCTCTGGTTTCTTTCCCCTTCTTCCCACTTTTGTTCTGAGCTCATTATATCTTTCCTCAAACTAGATGAGAATTGACTTAAGACTATAAATAAATAAATCACAGAAGAGTCCACCTGGGGCCAGGTATGGTGGTACACACCTGTAATCCCAGCACTCAGAGGCTGAGGCAGGAGAATGACTGTGAGTTCGAGGCCAGCCTGAGCTGTATAGTGAGATCCTGTCTCAGAAAATAAAAACAGACAGACAAAACTATACACCAAGGAATAATTGTTTTCAAATGGTTACCATTGACTCAGTGATTGCTTGGAGATAGTTTCTGACAACTGTGTACATATGGAAATGCCCTACTTACAAACCCAGTTTGATTCCATTCCATTCATACAACATCAGTCAGACTTTGCCATCATTGGAGATAGGCACGTGTTCTGAATGTGTTGCCTAAGCTAAAGTCAGTTGTGGTTGGGACATCTGAACTTCAAGGATGACAGAGCCCTCGGGGGGCTCCAAAATGCCTAAATTCTCATAAATAGAAAGGTAAGAAATTGGGCCATGGAATATGGACCCTGAAAAAGTAATCAGTGATTGGATACCTGCTGCAGAGAAGGGGACTCTTTTAGCTACATTAATCTACCTTCAGACAGCTAATAATGAAAACGTGTGCCAAAGTGCCCACAGCAATTTCCCTCATCTTCTTGTCCTCTGTCCCTGAATTTTGGAGTGCTCTAAAGAACAGCCTTCATATCTCTTTATTTATGCTTTTTTGCATAGTCTCCCAATGTTAATTTTTTAGTCTCTTGGCTTTACATATTTACGTTGATGTTATAGTTTATATCTGAATATCCCCCAGAGCATCATGCATTTATAAATTGGGTCTTTAGGAGGTATGTGAAACTGGATGAGTCCACTGATGGGTTTGTAGCTAAATTGACGTTGGGAGGTGAAGCCTGATAGGAAGAGGTGTAGCCTCTGTGGGTGTAGCCTGGAAGACTGGAGATATATACTTCGTCTTCCCTTGATGGCTTACTGTTTCCTGCTGCCATCCAGCCAGCAGTCGTCGGCCCTGCCCCTCTACTATGCTGCATTAGAGCCAGCCGACTATGGCCGGACAACTCTACAGACTAAGCTAAAATACAGTAAACCTTCCCTCCTTTAAAATGTTCCCACCAGCTTGAACCACTGGTGCTATAGGTATGACTGCCCCACTGGGCAACTTGTACTACTGGTGGTACAAATGGATCTAATCATTTTTGCCCATCTTTTTACTAAAAATTAATAAACAGCCACCCAATGGGACAGTCACACATGTACCACTGGTCATTCCAGCCATCAGATAGCAAGACATGAATTACCACCTTGGTTATGAGCCTGTTAACTTGTGGGTGTTAGGTATTTTATCCCATCAAAGAGAAGGTAACTAAGAAATTGACAGCTCCCATAAATGACTTTTTGCCATCTCCTCAGTGCCTAGTAGACATGCTAAACATAAATGTCCAAATTCAATCTAACTCTTCCCACAAATGTTTTTCTTACAGTTTTTTTGTATCTTGGCAAATGGCTGCAACATTCTTCTACATAGGCCAGAATCTTCAATCATTCTTCATACTATATTTACATAATTTTGTGTCATCAAATCCTAACTACTATACTCTCACTGTATATCTAGGATTAGGATTGTGTTTAACTGGGCCAAGCCACCATTGTCTCTTACCTGTGTCACTGCAATATCTGCTGCTTCCTCCTCCTAGCTTGCCTCTACCCCCAGTCTGTTCTCAGTATAGCAATGAGTGATTTTTTGAAAACATTAAATTAGAACTTGACCTTCCTATATTAAATTCCTCTCATTGCCTTTTCGTTTCAGTAAAAAACTGTATTTGGCTACCAGTTCACCCTTGGGCCTGATATCCTGCTGTTACCTCCTTTCCTCTCTAGTCTCATTTACTCTGTTGCTCTCCCCTGAACACCACAGGATAGCTGTACTTGCTGCTTGCTGAGGCTGAGGTGCTCTCCATAGATAGCCACATGATTTATTCTTCTCTCTTTTCAAGTGTTTCCTTAAGGAACATCCTGCCAATGAGGACCTCACTGATTGCCATGTTTAAGTTACTTCCTACCTCTGCTTGAGCATTCCCTGTCTGCTGGCTTTTCTTTAGTTTTTTTTCCAAAGCAGTTAGGTCCACTAAGTGGATGGATACATAACACAGGAATGTGTGTGTGACAGATCTGTCCCTCAAATGAAAAATTCAGCTGGTTAGGGAATTTTGTTTGCTGCCGTCTCTTCAATACCTGGAAAAAGTAGCATATTTTAAGTTATATTAGTGAAATTCTAGAGAGTATATGTCCCAAGAAGAAAAGCAGGAGAACCTAAAAGTAGTTCTAAATGATTTATACCCAAAAGCCTGTATAATATGTTCCATTTGATTATTTCTAAAAGTAAAAATAAAAAATTTAAAAACAAAGACCATTTGTCTCAGTAATAAGGCAATTTTTAAACATAAATTAAAAGTTCCAAATTAGGGCTTGTAAAAACCACTTCAAAGCATACCCTTACAGGAATATAACTAAGGCAGGAAAGATAAAAGCTGGGTACATAGACGTATCGCTGCACCTGAAAGACAGTGCCCATGCAGAAAATAAGTCAAATGAAAGAGCATAAGTCATGTTTTTCTCTATCCTCTTGTATTGGAAAAGAAATAATCTTCAATTTGATCTTTGTTCTTTGTAGGAAAGAAAATTCAAATTGTTTTTAATGTTCTCTATCAGTGTAAACATCAATTAAAAAGTATCACTTGGCTGCATTTGATGAGATGGCTTCTTAATTTCACTTATTGTGTACTGATAAACTTTATGATAAAAATCATAAAGTATATTTAGCATAGAGCATCCTTATCTTTATAAATTGCATATTCTATATTTGAAAACAGTAATTCTTATATTATGTCTAGTATATGTTCTTTGACTTGGACATTTTAAATCTTTTTCAGTTGCTAGCTTTGTAATATTGATTATTCTATACAGTGTCATTTTTGAGCCATTGACTTCTCTTTCTCTGTATTTATGTAGTACTTGCTCAGTTTATATATGTGCATTTGCCATAATTTGGGCACTAATGGATAATGGCATATTCCTTTCAGACAGCAGTAGAATCTAGCCCCGTAATGCCTTCATTTTGATTTATCTTGTACTTTTATCTTCTTCAAAGAGAGAAAAAAGAAAACACTTTCCTCTTCTTATTCATCACTTTCAAATTAAAGACAAAAATTTTGATGACTGTTAAGGTTAAATTTTCTCTTACAGTCTTCTGATTTAATAATAATGGGAACTGATTGGGGGAAGCGAATAAAGAGAAGGAAGAGGAAATGATGAAGAAAAAGGGAAAGGCATTAATATAATGTAAATAATTTCTCATTACTCACCAACTTGTGCTTTACTCCTTATGGTACCTCCAGTGTTCCAGATCTATAATAAGCATGTCATTCTGAGGAAAATTACTGACTTGAAACTTGGCATGATGGCACATGTCTGAAATCTCAGCTACCCAGGAGACTAAAGCAGGAAAATCACAGATTTGAGGCCAGCCTTGGTAATTTAGAACCTATCGAGATATCCGTGTACAGATGTGCCAAGATTAAACTCATTAGTTTATTAACCAATATAAACTGATATAAAAAAGCAAAAATGGCTGGAGATAAAGCTGATGGTAGAGAACCCCTAGATTTGATCCCTACTACCGCACGCACACGCACACGCATGCATGCACGCATATACACAAAAGTTGTTGACCAAAATTAAATCTGTTTTTTTCAGTTGCTTGGACCTGGAGCAGTGTTCTCTTAAGGTTTTGGAGCCTGAAGGAAGCCCAAGCCTGTGTTTACTGAAACTAATGGGTGAAAAAGGTTGTACAGTCACAGAATTGAGCGACTTCTTGCAGGCTATGGAACACACTGAAGTTCTTCAGCTTCTCAGCCCCCCAGGTAGGTTTTCCCCATAGGAATATTATCTTGAAGTTCATGGAGTAAGTCTTAGAGAAAAGTACTTCGTTTGGCTAGATAAATTGAGTTAAATGTTTTTGAAAAATATAAATGAATAGAACCTTATTTTTTCCTGTCTTGAAACCAAACAAGTCATAAGAAAATAAAAATGCATAAATGCTGATTGGATTATAGTTTAAAAGCCAGCTATAGGTCCAAGGATATAGCTCAGCAGCATAGCACCTGTCTGGCAAACAAAAGGTTGTGAATTCAATTCCCTCTCGCCCTCCCGGCAAAACAGCCAGCTATATACTGAAGTACTTAGAGGTAAGATTGCTACAACGCTTATTGAAGTAGTCCCATCAATAAAATGAACACATTTGTTTATATGTGTGTGTGTGTGTGTGTGTGTGTGTGTGTGTGTGTGTGAATGAGATGACATAGAACAAAAATCTATTAAGTTTTTGTCAACATGATGCTGTTGAAATGTTAATTCAGCCATATGAATTTTTTCCTACTATAACAGTTTTGACAAAGGAATCAAAATTATCCTATGTGTATTTTCAGTTCACAATGCAATTAAACTAGAAATCAGTGATAAAGGTACCACAGAAACTGTGCAAACACAGGAGAACTAAATAATATCCTCTTGAATAATCAGGGAGTCACAGAGGAAATTAAAGAAGAAATTAGACAGTTCCTATAATCAAATGATAGTCACATTTTGACATACCAGAACGTATGGGACTCAATGAAAGCACCTAAGAGGGAAGTTTATGGCAATGAATTCCCGCATTAAAAAAAAAAAAACAGAACATGCACAAATTAATTATGCACCTCAGGGTTCTAGAGAAACAAGACCAATCTAAACCCCAGGCTAGTACAAGAAAGCAAATTATAAATATCAGAGAAATATCAAATTAATGCAACTGAAACAACAATAAAAAAAAAACAGTATACAAAGAATCAGTGAACGCAAGACTTGGTTCTTTGAAAGTTTAAACCTAACAGACTACTAACCTTATCAAAGCAAGGAAAGAAAAGACCCAAATTTGTGCAACTAGAAATGAAAAAACCAAAAACACAATGGATTCTACTGAAATTCTACAGATTATCAGTAAATACTTTAGAACCTATACTCTAATAAAATGGGAAATTCAAGAAGGGAATTTTAGCAGTCTTGCTAGGTACATACAGATTACCAAGACTGCATAAAGAAGATATAAAAATCCTGAATAATCCACTATCAGTCAATGAAACTGAAAAAGTAATTTTAAAGAACTATCACCTAAGAAAAGTCTAGGTCCCAAAGGATTCACTGCCAAATTCTGCAAGAACTTTAGAGAAGATCTAACCCTAGTAATCCTGAAACTCTTTAAAAATCAAAGAGCAAGCAAGCATTACTCCCTAACGTCATTTCTGAAAGGCAGCATTGCCCTCATATCAAAACAGAAAACAACCAACCAAGTGAAAGGAGAACTAAAGATCAGTCTCTTTAATGAATATCGCTTTAATGAATGAATATTGATGCAAAAATCATCAATAAAATACTAGCAAGTAAAATGCAACAAATCACCTAGTAAATTATACATCATGACCAAGTGTGATTCATTCCAAGGATACAGAGATGTTTCAACATATGCAAATCAATAAATGTAAAACACCACATTAATAGAACCAAGGGCAAAAATCACATGAGCATCTTAATAGATGCAGAAAAAATATTTGACAAAATTTAACATCCATCCATAATTAAAAACCCTGAAAAAAATATGTATAGAAGGTCTTTATTTCAACCCAATAAAAGCCATCAATGACAAAGCTTTCCCTCTGAAATCAGGAACAAGACAAGAATGTCCATGTTACCTCTCCTGCTCAATACTGTTCTTGAAACATTAGCCAGAGACTATTAAACGAGAAATAAAGGGATAGGAAAGAAAGAAGTTAAATTACTTGCTAATGACATGATTCTCTAGGTAGAAGACCCCCAAAACTCCAAGACTCCTAGAATTAATAATTAAATCCAATAAATAGCCGGATACAAAGTCAGTACTCAAAAATCAGTAGCATTCCTGTAAACTAATAACATCCTCATCCACAGAGAAATTAGGGAAATAACACCTTTAAAATAGCATCAAAAAATGAGATATTTAGGAATTAACCTAACCAAGGAAGTTATAACACCCTGCAAAACGAAATTGAAAAAAAAAGTAGAAATATATCCCCTGTTCCTAAATAGGCAGAGCCAGTATAATAAAAAATAACCATACTTCCAAAACTGTTATACAGATTTAATGCAGTCCCAACTAAAATGCTAACAGTATACCCCACAGAACTGGAGAAAGCAATTCTAAAATTCATGTGGAACAAGAAGAGACCTAGAATAGCAAAAGTAATTCTGGGCAACAGGGACAAGGCAGTGGGCATCACAATACTGGAACTCAAGTTATAAAGCTATAGTGATAAATATCAAGGTATGCAATGTGCATGTATAAATCCCCCATGGTGAATCTAGTCATTGTATACTACAGACGTACTAATACAAAGAATAAAATAAAATACCTATTCAGTGAGGCTTCTCATTTCCAAATTTAGATGAGAAACAGGAAGCAGTTCTTCCCCTCTTATACCTGCTGGTAAAGTTAGCTGTAGTGGACTCAGGTGGGAAGGACATGCCTTCAAGACTGCCCAATGGCATAGCCTTCCAAGTCCAGCGGTTCATTTGGACTGAAAGAGAAGAGGCCAGTGAAGCCTGGAAGGGCCGTAGACTAAGAGTTATTTTATATGATTTCAACATATGCCATTTCATTATATATCAAATTAGGATATATTTTTAAGATGACATGGAAATTAGGTAGGCACAGACGGTGAATTGATGAGCTGTCAATTATGTACATGTACCAGAAATCCCAATTCAAATTAATGTAATAAAGAATATAAAATTTCTTACTGAAAAGTCTGGAAGCACATTGGGCTTCATAAGGGGCAGAGAGCAACCCTGTTTCTAGGAAGTTGGTTGGTTTTTCGTCTTCGCTGTTCCTTTGTAGACACTGGCTTCCTTCCAAGACTGATGTTTCACACTGCCCAAGATGCTTTACTAACTTTTATGAACTCATTCATCTTTGTCCCAGCATTTCCAGCAAAAATCAGAGGGTTCACTCTAGTTAACTAGCTTTATTCACATGTCTGTCTGTAAACCAGTCAACGTAGCCAAGAACATAGAATGTGCTGATTTGTCTGGCAGATGGCCAGAATTAAAATTAGTTGAGTCAGCTTCCCAAGAACCACATTGCTTACCTCACAGAATTAGATTTGTCAGATCAAAGAAAGATATAACAGGTGCTCAGAGTGTACCCAAACATACATACTCCAGACGGAAAGTGCCTTGAATTGTCAAGGAGGAATGTTGGGCATCCCATGCTTTACCAGGTCTAATGTAGGTGGTAAAATAGACCTCCCGTACTCTGTAGTGAATACTTAGCTTTTCTTTGTCATTGCCTCTCTATACCAAGGGTATGGTCTAGGAGTAGCTAGCTCCTAATGAAGGTGTATCCCTGTGCAATTGTAGTATGTACCGAAACAGTAGATTTAAGGTGGTATTTATTAATTTTTTTCCTAGTGCCTCTCATAGTAAGTACCCAGTAATTGTGAGGATGAAAATTCACCAGCCCTGGGCACTAACTTCACTACTAAATTCTCATACTTTATGGAACACCAAAATCTCTGAAACTCAAGTCTCTCTGAGAAGTAAATATAATTTTTGTATCTCATTCTCTTTTTCAGGAAGTATACTTAATTACTCTGATCACTGGTTGCCAGCTCTAAAATGAATGGAGTATTCTGTACTTCAGAGTTGTAGAAGTTACATAAAGTAGTGGAGTGTTTAATTGTTTTGAGACAATCTGTCTTAAAATTTGTAGTGTGATCACTGTAGTGCCTGAGAACTAAGGTTCCCAATTTTTAGTTTCCCATATAGGAAACTATGCTTTACTGAAACTGAATCATATATTCATTTTTATATAAAAATTTACCTTAGATTTTTAAACAACATTTTATATTTTGTTTTTTGACAAGCCAGAAATTAAGAAAATCACCCTAATAAACATCACTAATCTTCTTTTGAAAACTCTGTTTTTCTCTCTAAATAATAGGATTACCACTTTCCTGTCAGTGTTTACCTGTACAGATCATTCTGATATGTGGCCCCAGGCTTTGTCAAGATCATACTATAGGACGTTTTTGTACTTTTGAAGGGAGGAGAGCAAAATGAAAACAGCTTCTATATCACCAGTTCAGCATAGTTTCTGTAAAGTTTTGTGTCATATTAGCCATCTAGTATCCATGAGACTTGATTGTTACTTCATTTAAAAGTATTTTGAGATTAATAAAGATCCTTACTTAGAAATAATTGTTAGCTTAACAATTACTTGAATGAGGATAATCTAAAACAGTCTACTTCTGAGTATTACAATAAGGAAATACAAAAATTTTAGATAAATTTAATGTTTTAATAATGAGATTAAAAATAAAAACTGTTGCAATTAGGAATGAAAGCTCTGACAGAATCAACTTAATTTGTGATTTTGGTTGGTCATTCAGGAAACATGCTATATTCTAATACTTTTGTTACCCCAGGCATTAAGTATTGTAAATTCAAAGATAAATGAAACAATCATTTGTGACTATTGAAATGCCATAGTTTAGCAGGGGATGCAAACATATCACATCCAGGACAATTGTAGAAACAAATATATATAAAGTAAATTTATTTGCTCTCCAGTTTTTCCTTTTTAGTATATGGTATTCTTGCATCTTAGTGAAAACACAAAATAGAGATATTCTATTAATACCATTTCACAGAAGGACATGTGTTCTTATTCCACAGAAAATCTGACATGTTTGTTGTGATTGTCTTTATGGAGGGGGCGCAGATAGGATTATTAAGATGAATTCTGTCAGAGAATTTGGAACAGGCTTTTCAGTTTCAAATACAAGAAAAGGGAAACTATAACCTCACTCTAAGAGCTTTTTTATTTTGCCATTATAATCCATTCCACTTGTTTTGATAGCGCTAAAAGATAACAGTCCTGTGGAGCTCACTGTCTTTTAAAAAGCTAAGTCCCACTGCCCTGGATCCTAGAGATTGAATGCAGGGCCTTTACATTGAGCTGTATCCTCAGCCCTTTTTTCTTTTTTCTTTTCTTTTTTTTTTACTGGAAATCAAACTTACTGTCTCACGCTTGCCAGGCAGACACTTAGGTTGCTGAGCTAAATCAATGGCCCTGTTTTCTATTTTTTATTTTGAGATAAAACTCTAACTTGTGATCCTTTACCTCAGTCTCCCAGAGTGCTGGGACTGCAGAGCGCACCACCATGCCCAGCCCAAGTTTCCTTTATACACAGTATTTATTTTGGTAGCTCAGAAGTAGTTAGGACCATAAATGTTCTCATCTCTAATTAAACAGTTCCTGTCATTAGGAGTCAGCTTCATTGGTCACTGAACATGAAGCCTTAGATGAGTATGAATTAGACTCTGGGATCTAATATGATACATATTCTAAAGAAACGTGTAAGCTTGAGGTTTCCCTTTTCTGCATTCTTTTTCTTTGGACTTTGCCATTAGCACATGGGTAGGCAAATCTGTGCTCAGTCTGATCCCTTTTTTTTTTTTTTTTTGGTGGGGGGAGTACTAGGAATCGAATTCAGGACTTTGCATTTGATGGGCAAGCATTGTGCCACTGAGCTATTTCCCCTCCCAGTCTGATCTCTCTTGGATTGTATGTTAAAGAAATTTTTTCTTGGGCGTGGTGGTTTATGCCTGTAATCCCAGCACTCAGGAGGCTGAGGCAGGAGGCTTGTTGTGAGTTTGAGACCAGCCTGGGCTACAAAGTGAGCTCAAGGCCAGCCTGAACTGCAAAGGGAGACACTGTCTCAAAAAGACCAAAAAAGAAAAAAGAAATTTTGTTTAGTTTTTATGTGTGACTGATACCCAACTCCATTTTCTAGCATTGATAAATTGTTTCCCTATTTTTGTCCTCCTTGGTTATCTCAATGAGAACTGAAAAAGGAATTAAAGTGAATCTGCTAAAATTAAAATTGTCTTGAGCCACAAGTCTATGATGATTCTCTTAGATTTTTATTACTTTATTTAAGCTTCAAAGACTCTGATCCTTAGCCAGGCTTGATGGTACATGCCTATTATCCTAACATTTGGGAGTCTGAAGCAGGAAGATCACTGTAAATTCCAAGGCAGCCTGGACTACATAATGAGTTCAAAGCCAGCCTACCCTACATAGTATGATCTTGTCTCAAAAAAAAGACCCTGATCCCAAGGCCACCAATATTGGGATTTTATTCTTGGCAAATGTATGTAAACTTAGAGGTACAATTTGATATTTTTGTGTCTTTGTTTAAAAGTGAAAACATTTTAAGTGCAGACTTAAGCCCAATTTTATATAGATGATGAAATGGGTGCCTCAAAAAGTAATGCTCTTACTTGGAATTGGCCAACCAGAAGCTAGAAAATGGATAGTACTTAAAAGTATTTAAATCCATGTGGATTTCATTAGGTTGCATCCTAAATTTCTTCCCAGCCTTGATTTTGTAATAGTGCCATGTTATTTCATTCTTCATACAAAAATTGCTTTGTTGAGGATCCTCATCAGATGACTGAGATAAGGTTATGTGGTTTCAGTGGCATCTTTCCCATTTGCCCCACCTCTTTATGTCACATTTGTTTGAATCCTGGGTAGCATACTAATTGTTACCTTTCTAATGCAAACTTTCATTACTTTTACTATCTCTAAGGTAAGTGAAAAGACTATTAAATGTTATTTTTTTATTTCCAGAATACCTTTTCTTCATATTTTATCTCCACTCTTTGTGCGTTGTAAATATCTACATTTTACTAGCAAAATTTATGTGGAAAATCAACTTTTCCAAAAATTATTTGGCCAAAATCACAGTTAATCACCAAGTTGGGATTAAAAGCCAGGTCTGGTCAAGGATGTTGATGCACTCCTATAGTTCCAACTACTCAAAAGGCTGAGCAGGAAGATGGAAAATTTGAAGTAGCCTATACAAATTAACCAGGCCTTACCTCAAAATGGTGATAGTGATGATGATGGTGGTGGTAATAATGGGTTAGGATGTAGCTCAGTGGTAGAGGCCTTGCTTAGTATGCACAAGATCCTGGGTTCTATCCTCAGTACTGCAAGACAAAAAATGATAGAAAATTTCTAGGTTGTTAAAATTATGAATTACTAAGTCAGCTGCCTTTTTGACCCATATATTTCAATGTTTTCCTTCTTTTTTTTTTTTTTTTTTTTTTTTTGGTACCAGAGATCGAACTCATGCCCTTGCGCTTGCCAGGCAGGTCCTTGTGCCACTGAGCTAAATCTCCAGGCTCAATGTTTTCCTTCTTGACAAGCTAAAACGTACTCAAATACAGTGTTGCTCATAAAGGACTTTTCTTGTTTTGTGGACATCAGAAAATTGACAGTTTAGCCTCTCCACAGCTACATACCCTTCCAAGATGTCAGTATGCTTCCTCAGGGTGAGACTGAGGGAGAGGAAGAATGGGTTGGGTGGTTCTGTTGTTGATACAGGATTGTCTTCCAAGCTCTTCTCAAAAATTTTCGGTTTGAATGCTGGTATTCATTCCTTAAATGAGAAGTGTTTGTGTCACAAATAACAAGTTAATATCCAAACTTTATCTGTCTTTTCTACTTCGAAAATGGGTTTCATTTCAGTACTAAATTTTAATACAGTCATTTGATGACATTTCAATGACACTGTCTTTGTTTTCTGTTGCTGTAACAGAATGCCCAACAGTGGGTAATTTATAAAGAACAGACATTTATTTCTCACAGTTCTCACAGCTCTTGGGGAGCCCAATCTCAGGACATTAATATGTGAAAAAAGGCCTTGTGCTATAACCTCACGTGGTGCAAGGTGAAAGGGCAAACAAGGATGAACATTCTCACATTCCACAAGAGAAAAGCAGAGGAGAGTAATCCTGCTCCCCTGAGCGCTTCTTATAATGGCATTAGTGTACGTATGAGTGCAGAACCTCCATGACTTACATACTTCCCAGTACTACTGTATAGGGGATTGAATTTCTAACACATGAATTTTGGACAACAGATTCAGACTATAATAGGCATTTAAATTTAATGCTTATATTACAAATAGTGCACTTAAATGAAGCACTAACCAAATGAATATTTATGGCCAGGTCTTTATATGAGCTTCCTAGAGCCATCTGTTATGAAGTGCACCCTAATTTCAGAAGCATTAGAATGCAGAAGCAAAGTATCTTAAGAATTGAAGAAACATGGCAAGTAATTCCACCCGCAGTCACATAGAAATAGATTAGATCAAAACCTTACAAACTCATAAACTGATACAGAAGGAACTGTAAGGAGATGATTTGTGACAAAGATAATTATGTAAGTTATTTCCAAAATATTTATTTTGTTTCAGATTTATAAATAAAAAAACCTCACTCTTACGACTTTACAACTTTTTTTAAAAGGAATAAAGATCACTAAAAACCCAGAATCAAAGGCAGTGTTGGCTGGACAGTTTGTGAAACTATGTTGCCGGGCAACTGGACATCCTTTTGTACAATATCAGTGGTTCAAAATGAATAAAGAGGTAATTTTCAATGTCTTTTAATTCCTCTGATACAAAAAGAGAGAAAGCTAGCAAATTAATGAAGGTTATTTTCCTAAGTGTGATTTTAGAAATTGGGTTAAAGGGTGTTAACATTGTTGGGTTATTAATTATTATGGTAACATAAGTCCAAAATTGTGTTACAAAAAAAATAAGCAATATGAAATCAATTTTCCACTCTAGACCGGGCATAGCAGCACACACCTGCAATCCCAGCACTCAGGAGGCTGAGGCCAGAGGATTGCCTTGAGTTCGAGGCCAACCTGGGCTGCGTAGTGAGACTCTGTATCAAAAAGAAAAACTTTTTCCACTCTAAAACTTGTGGAAAATAGGAGTCACCAGGGCAATCATGTTGGCAGATAGAACCATCACTGGTATAGTATAATATTCCTGTAAAATTCTTTATAGCAGATTATGTTCCTACTAAAATTTTTAGCTAAAACATTTTTAGGACTACATGTAATGCAGTGTTGTTATTTTAAGAGTTCCACATAACTGTATTATATTAAAAAATTTAACCATTCTTTTTTTTGCTGGGAGTCAAATCCAGAGCCTCACTCACACTAAGCAAAGCACTGGAAGAGCTATAACAAGTTGAGACCACGCTTATGTTTGGAGGTCTCTTTGGGGAGGTACAGTATTTGTCAAGCACCTGTTTTGTGCCAGGTCCTGTTCTAAGATGTAATGATGCAGCAGGGACTTGCAGGGTCCCTGCCCTCTGTACCCTGGTAAGGGGAGAGAGAAAATAAGAACATGAAATCACTTGTGGGAATTTAGAGTTAGGAAGAAAGTGAGCATGTTAATAATAGAAAGGGAGAGGCCACTAAAGTTTCTAAGTGAAGGAGATAACATAATAGGATTACATTTTTAACAATACTGGTACTTAAAGGAAGTGGAGAACAGCAAGAAGACCAGGTGTCTATTCTTACGAATACTGGAGCGACATCAAGTTAGGAGAAAATCAGGAGTTTGGTTTTTGACAACACTGAGAGTAACATAATGAAGAAAAGTATGGGAATAACAAAGAGATCAAGAAAAATAAAACTGTATTTAAAGAAGAGAGGAGTAGCCAGCTTCCTCAGTACAAGTGAGAGCAGGTGTGGGGTCAAAAGTGGATCATTTGGTTTATTTAAGATAAAAGTAGTAGAGTATAATTTTGACAGTGATAAAATAAGAGGGAAAAAAGTAGATGCTGAAACAGGAAGAAACTTGAAGGAGCAAGGTCAGAGAGGATGGCATTTCCTTCACTCTCTTATGTTCAGTGCTGGTGGCTGTGAATTAACTGAAGTGAGGTGGATTAACAGAAGAGAAGTATGTTCATATGACTGCACTACAAAAAAACTGACTTGCTGGATTATTACAGTTAGAGGCTAATGTGTCTCATAGTAGAAAAAAGAGGGAAGAGCTTCTGTGGGAATATCAGGTTGATCAGGATAGACAAATGGCTTTATAGAAGAACTAGGAGAGGATAGGGACAGTTCATGATAATCTTTGTTTATGTGGGTGCTAGGTTTTTTCCTCTTTTTTTATGACCATAAACTCTGTAGAAACTAGGTTTATGGTAAGTTTATTGTGATATCCTTTCTGGGAATAAGAGCCACTGCAATTGGGAATTTATGGTGGCTTTGTTCTCAGAAGTCCCTTTTAGTCAGGTGAGAGAAGTCTTAAGTCTCTGCATCTGCTGAATTCCAGATACCTTCGGTCTGGGCTTTCAGCAGATCCCCACAGCTCTTCAGCCCAAGTAGCCTTTGTTAGGAGATACATCTTCCATGTTAGCTAGAGGGGAAAAGGCAGTTATAAATAGATGTAGACACAGCTAGATTTGTGATTTGCTGACAGGAACAAGAGAAATTCTTATCTACAGCAAGTATCTGGCAGAAGCAGGATTGCAGGAGGTTTGAGGAGAAACTGGTTAAATATAAGGAAAGAAGACTTACCAGGATGACATAGTCTGACTGTCAAGCACTTCTGAGGGTACCCTTTTGTCCCACGTGTCTCATCTTCAGTGGAATACCCTTTTTATGCCCCTACTGAGAGGAGAGTTGAGTTTAGTTGCTCGGTGTTTGGAGATGGAGAGCTGCAAGCTTGCTGAAGTGTAGTACTTTGCAAGAGGCCATAATAATGAGACACTCGAGGAAGCCCCTTGGCAGGGAGCATTAAGTGAGTGGAGCCGATACATTGCCAGGAGTAGCAAACTGGAGAGAAGTCTTAACTGTGGTGACAGAAGCCCAGTGCGTAAATCTTGGGAGGTGTTAGATGGCTGTTCCCTCCCATCTCTTGCATGTTTTCACTATCCCATCTCCGGTCAGACCTTGAAAGAAGCTGGGTATGGTTTGGTTAAGGAGTCTATCCTTTTATAGAAACTTTATGATGAGAAAATGGAGTTTCTGGGTAAAATATATATTCATAGTTAATTTGGTTAGAATTCAAAGTAACACCAAAGGCCACTTCTGTGTGTTCTTTCCGCACTATAAAGGTGGCAGGCATAGATCCTTTCAACACCAAATGATCCAACTGTTTTAGTGGCAGAACTAATTTCTATTGTGAACTTCTAGAAAGTATATGAGGAATGGCTTACCTTTCTGGTTAAGAGTTTACAAAAGAACTAGATTTCTAATATTTCTAAGCAACTGAACTATTATTGTCTGTTTCTTTACTGATAATATTTTAGAACATGAAGAGAAGATACAAGGGAAGCTTTCAAAGCTCCACACTGATTTCATACACTTTTTGCAGCAAATTTTTTGATGGATCATTCATTTATATTCTTTTGTTGATTCTTTCACAGATTCCATATGGAAATGCATCAGAACTTATTTTTAACTCAGTGAGTGTAAAGGATGCAGGCTTTTACGTCTGTCGTGTTAATAATAATTCCACGTTTGAATTTAGCCAGTGGTCACAGCTAGATGTTTGTGAAGTTACAGAAGTAACAGAAACCTTCCAAAGTAAGTGACAAAAGAAATTTAATGTTGACTAGTACATTGCCTTATTTTAAGTGTTTACTTTAAAATAACTTCAAAGTATCAAATAAGTAAAAAATTTCATGTATGTATTTTACCCAGTACAGTATCACTAGTTATTAAGATTTGATCTTGTGCTTTGTCTTTCTCTGTGTGAGTGTTCAGGCAAATCCCTTAGATGACCCCAAACCTTCTCAGTCTGCTGCTGAGCTCCTCAAGCCTGCCAGCTTTCGTGGTCGGTTACCCTTTCTTAATGCACAAGCATTAAGATATTTTCCTCATTATTTCAGTTTTCTTGAATGGTCCTGTATGCTAACTTTGTTTATCTCAGAATTTTGTTAACTTGTCCACAGCATTCTTTTATCCACGAAACATCCCTTAATGTTTCTGGGAATGCTACAGTTTGCTGCAAGGTTGTAAAAATTGAGGGGTAAATTTGGACGCATCAATTTTTTTAATTATATGATAATTTGGTTTTTTTTTTTATTTTTAACCTAGAAATTTTACTCTTTTAATTTAAGAAAATGGGGATGGCATCCCTGAATCCAAATTACAAATCTGTGTTGAACCAAAGTCCCAGAAGCTAATGCCAGGAACCACATTGATTTTACAATGTGTTGCTATTGGAAGCCCTATTCCTCACTACCAGTGGTTTAAAAATGAATCTCCACTAACACATGAGACAAAAAAGATATACATGGTAAGTAGTTAGTTGGGGAATGGGGTATATTTTTGGATTAATATGTAAAATAAATGGTGTGATTAAAATGTAAAATGAACATTAAACAATGTTTTGGGGGTAGTTAATATTTTCAACATTTTTATTTCAATCCTCTTGTGATTTAAAATTGATTCTGGTATTTGCAAATATGCTAGAATTCAACATTGAAAATGTTGAACAATATTGCATCAGATAGACTCATACTAAAAATGTATCATTTGCTCGCTAATATTTAGTTTAATGAAAGGAGGTTATCTAAGACTGTGTAACCTCTTTTAAAATGTTATGTGTTGAAAAATTTTTAAACACAAGATGGTTTTTCTCTAGCCCAATTTAATTTAAAATTGAAGAGGAAATATGTATGTGTTCTGATTCTGTTATAGGTGCCTTATGTGGATTTGGAACATCAAGGAACCTATTGGTGTCATGTGTATAATGATCGAGATAGTCAAGACAGTGTGAAGGTAGAAATCATCATAGGTAAGCATTTTTACTTGGTATTCTTTAAAATGCTATTTATATAAACTGACATATATAAGCAAAAAAATTCTACTTTGTTGCCTAATATTGTTTGTGTGTTCAAGAGTTACATAGTTTACTTAGAAATTTGAGAGAGCATATTGTAAATTTATATCCTACCAGAAAGGGGGTGGGGAGCTGTTTTCAGATTCCTTCAGTTATTTTTGAATGTTTTTATTTTAAATATTTATGACAGAAACACAGTCTTTAAAGCTTTGGTTCCAAGACATTTAAAGTCTTAAGACATCACTTTTAGCCCTGAGATGGTGGTGCTGGTGAGTGGAATGTAAGTCCATGCTCTACACTTCCTACATTGTCCCCAGGATAGTGGCTGGGCCAGTGAGAGGAGTGTAAGCCTGTCCTCTGCTCTCCCTATTTCCCCAGGATAGTGGGGCCAGCTCGGGGAGACATCCTGAGGAATAGATGCCTCCCAAGAAAGCCTTGTCATCAATGATAACACTGTCTAACATCAAAAATCTAAAAGCATCAGCATAGACAGCATAGGCCTGGAGAAGCAGCAACCAGCTCCACCTCTGCATGTACATGAGCTACATTGGTACCCTCCCACAGGTAGCTAGCTGAGAGCAGGAGAATAAGCAGTCTTCCTTGGCCTTGTGAGCACGATGGCCACCATCAGGGACCTGTAGCTAGCATGGGCCAGGAGACCTAGTGTGTAGCTAGTGTGGGCCAAGAGAACCAGCCAGCCACACCTTAGAGAAGCCACATGTGTCTAGAGAAGCCTACCACACACCCCACCACTTCCCAGTGAACCTAAGTTAGGAGAAACTCAGTTGTATGAGCCATCCCCCTACACTGCAGACAGATAGCCAATGCCAGAAATACCTGGGACCCCACAACTAGCTTATCCAGAGGAAGCCAAGAAAATTTCAAGACAAAAGAACAAAAGGCAATCACTGGCCTCCAGCCACACAGAACAAGCCCAGGAGACATAGACATAGAATAAATTGGAAGCCACACACCTGAAATTTCTGGGATGATGGCAGCTGAAGTAAAGAAACTACTTCATGAGGCTGTAAAACAAATCAGATTAAAAATAACATCTTGGCTAAAAGAAGAAATGACAAACATAAGAAAGAGTTGCTGAGCATATTTAAAGAGGATATAGGGGCTGGGGATTTAGCTCAGCGGCATAAGCGCCTGCCTTGCAAGCAGGCAGTCGTGAGTTCGATCCCTGGTACCGATAAAAAGGAAAAAGACAAAAAAATAAATAAATAAATAAAGAGGATATAGATTTTAAAAAGAGCGTCGTGAGTTCGATCCCCGGTACCAATAAAAAGGAAAAAGACAAAAAACAAAACAAAACAAAAAAAAAAAAAAAAAGAGCATGGGAAATGGGGGGAAACTTTGAATGAGCAGTATAAGAGAGAATTGGAATACATGAAACAGATTCAAAGAGATATGCAGGAAATTAAAAACTCCATTAAAAGCTGGTAAAACTGCTTGAAAGAAACTGAAGATAGATTTTCAGATCTTGAAGACAGGATTGCAGCTAGCTATCACAAAAGGAAAGCTCTTAAAAATAACAAGGCACCAAGAAATAATAATTCAGCTGCAAGATGATGCCAAGAAAAAATAAGATGGATAGCTGTCAGCAAAAAAGCAGAAGTCAATCCAAATGACATAGAAAGACTATTACAGAAGTGATAGCAGAAAACGTCCCAAACAAGGGAAAAGGACCTGAGATACACAAATAAGTGAGGCATATAGAACCCCAGCTAGCCATAACCAAAATAAATCTGCATGCAGATACGTAATAATCAAGATCCCAGAAATTCAGCCCAAGAACCAAATATTAAAAACTATTAGAGAAAAGAAGCATCACCTCTAAAGGAAAATCCATCAGAATCATGACAGACTTATGAACACAAACTGTCAAGCCAGGAATAACTTGGAGTGAAGTATTTCAAATCCTGAAAGAAAAGAACTTCCAATACACATTGATATACTCTCAAAACTCTCAAAATTAGTAGAGAAACAAGATACTTCCATCACAAAGAACAACTGAAGGAATTCACAACCACCAAACCAACACTACAAAGGATGTTGAAGGACATTCTAGAGATAGAGAAAAATGACCACAGCTCCAGGAATAGCAGTAGAGGGAGACTGGCAAGCAGGGTAGGCAGTTGAATGCAGGGGGAAAGTAGGGAGCCAGTGGCAGGAAAATAGCAAGGCAGAGAAGAGCCAGTACATTTTGACCATAACCAATAAAAAGAAACACAGAGTGGATCAAAAAATAAGATCCATCTAATACTGTATACTAGAAACACATTTAACTCGACAGGAAATTCATAGACCAAAAGTCAAAGGAGAGAACAATCTTCCATATGACTAGGAACCAGAAAAAGCAGGGGTAGCTTGCCCATCAATTGCAGAATGGATAAGAAAGATAAGGCGTTTTTGTACAATAGAAAGCTATTCAGCTATAAAGTGGGATAATCTTAAGCCTTCTGTAGATAAGTGGATAGAATTTGAGATCATGCTCATGGGTGAAATGGTTGGGACTCACATAAGTAAACTTAGTATTGTCTCTCCTCAGTATAAAAAACTGAGTCAGTAGGATCCAAAATGTTTAACAGACACTGTGAAAGTGAATGGGAGGAAATGTCTAAAAAGGGAAGGCAGTGGCCATTGTTAATGTTCTATTATCTTGTTTTGAAACCCTGGATTGTTTTAATTGTTCTGTTTTGTTTGATTTTATTCTGTTTCATTTTGTTTGACTTTATTATATCTGATGGTATGGGCAGATTACGAGATATATTATGGTAGCCATTGTTGGTTTCCTATTAGCTTGTTTTGAAGCCCTATATTGCTTTTTGTTGCTTTGTTTTGATTGATTTTGTGCTGTTTTGTTTTGTTTGATTCTATTACATCTAGTGGTATAGGTAGCTACTTTGAAGCTAACCAGAGACATTATGGTAGCCATTGTTGATTTCCTATTATCTTGTTTTGAAGTCCTGTTTTGTGTTCACTGTTTTGTTTTAATTGGCTCTATTCAGCTTTATTTTGTTTGGTTTTATTCCCTTTAAAATAAAAAAAAACTTAAAGCTTCAACACAGAAAACAAAATAAAATAGAAAATAGAAAAGGACAAGATGAAAAAGCAAAATACAGTCCCAAACATCCAGCCCACCTAAAACAAATCCTGATCACAAATAGAGGAAATTAGAAGCCAACAAACAGAACTCTCTGAAATGATAGCAGAAGTGAAAAAACAAGTGGAAATGGCCGAAAAAAAAAATCTCTAAGATCCAAAAAATAAATGTCTGTCAAAATAAAAGATGTTAAAGCTAACACAGATAAATAAATAGAGGAGCTCAGAAAAACAATGGAGACCATGAAAGCCAAACATAGACAAGAAATGGAATCAGTGAAACAGACCCAAACAAATGCAGGAGATTAGAAATGCCATTGAAAGTGTATGCAGCAGACGGAATGAAGGCCAGGATAACATCAGATCTGAAAGACACAAATGCAGCTAGCAACCATGAAAGGAAAGTATCTTGAAAATCTCAAGAAACCACAAAAAAAAGTCAATCCAACAGCTACAAGATGAAGCAAAAAAAAACAAGTTGATTGGACTCAGTGAGAAAGCAGGAGATAGCACAAAAGCCATTAAAAACCTTTTCACAGAAATAATGGCAGAAAACTTCCCAAGCATAGATAAAGAATTTGACATACAAATAAATGAAGCATATAGAACTCCAAATAGCCATGACCAAGATAAATCTACACCAAGGCATATAATAATCAAGACTCTAGAAATTGAGCACAAGAACAAAATAGTAAAAGCACATAGAGAAAAGAAACATATCACCTATAAAGGAAATCCATCAGAATCACAGTAGATTTCTCAATGCAAACTGTAAAATCATGACCTTATATCCAACACTAAAGGAGAATAATCTTCAACCCAGATTCATGTACCCCACAAAACTGTCTTTCTTTTTTTTTTTTTCTTTGTCTTTTTCCTTTTTTTTATTGGTACCAGGGATCGAACTCACGACTGCCTGCTTTCAAGGCAGGCACTTATGCCACTGAGCTAAATCCCCAGCCCCAAAACTGTCTTTCAAAATTGAAGAAATAAGATACTTCATTGACAAAGAACAACTCTACAGAATGCTCTGAAAGACATATTAGCAAGAGATAATGAAGACCACAAACACATGAACACCAACAGAAAGAAGCTGCCAGGCAGGGCAAGCATTTAAACAGAGCCAAAAGACAGGGAACAAACAACAGGGAAGCAACATGAAAAAGAAAAGACAGTACATACAAGTTGTAACCATCAATGTAAATGGACTCAACTCACCAAACAAAAGAAACCAACTGGCAGAATGGATCAAGAAGCGAGATCTAACAATATACTTCATTCAAGAAACATATTTAAACCAAAAAGAAATTCATAAACTAAAAGTCAAAGGATGGAAAACAATTTTATATACCACAGGAACCCTGAAAAAAGCTCAAGTAGCTATTTTGTTTGCAAACGATGCAAACTTTAAGCCACAACTGATCAAAGGAGACAAAAAAAGTCACTACATACTTGTTAAAGGAAAACTCCAAGAAGAGATAACAGTCATAAATATGAATGCACCAAACACAAGTTCACCCAACTACATAAAGCAAATATGACATGAAAAACCAAATAAGCACTAACACAGTTGTATTCAGGGACCTTAATACCCCACTCCCTCAATGGATAGATCAGGGGCCGGGGATGTAACTCAACAGTACAGAGCCTGCCTGGCAAGCATGAGGTCCTGAGTTAGATTCCCCATTCACCCCTTCCCCCAAAATCCAAATGAAACAAATAGGTAGATTAGCTAGACAAAAAAGTCAACAAAGAAATAGTAGAATGAAACCAAGCCTTTGAGCGTATGGACTTGGTAAATGTCTACAGAGTATCCACCTCAAAACATCTGAGTACACATTTTTCTC